GCCTTCCGTCACACCCAGCATGCTCCCCTAAGAACAGGCTGACACCATCGAACCAACACAAGCCACCAACAATGGCCTTAACAAAGTATCTTATGCATGAGGTGTTGTTGCTGTTAGTCAAGCACGACTCACAGCAAGCCTATGAACAAAAGATCTGAACCCTGCTCTGTCCTGCACCATCCTCACACTTCCTGACACACCAGAGCCCATTGCAGCGGTCACCACGTCAATCCACCAGGTTGAGGGTCGTCTTCTCCTTCACCAACACTCCACCCTTCCCAGCATCATGCCTCTCTCCAAGGAATCGCCCCTACTAGCAACATGCCTAAAGTATGTGAGGCGAGGCTTCATTATTCTTGCCTCACAGAGCACTCTGGCTGCACCATCTCCAAGACGTATCTGTTCGTTCTCTTGCCTGTCCATGTGATGTTTAGTGCTCTTTTCCAACACCAAAGCTCAAAGACATCCATTCTTTTTCTGTCATCCTTATTCACTGTCCAGATCTCAGATGCATAGCTAGTAATCAGAAAGACTATACCCTGAATCAGATGCACCTTAGTCCTCAAACTGACATCACTACTCCTCAATACTTTGGAAAGATCCCTAACTGCAGACTTTCCCAGTGCAATTTGTCTCCTCATTTCCTGCCTGCTCATACCAAGAGTGTTAATTGTGGATCCAAACAAGATGCAGCTGTTGACAGTTTCAATCTTTTCTCCATCCATCCTGATGCTGCCTGTCAGTACAGTAATAAGAATCTTTATTTTCCTGACATTAAGATGCAATCCATACCAAAGGCTGCATTCCATGATCTTCGGCAACAAGCACTTCAAGTCCTCCTCACTTTCAGCAAGCAAGGTCGTGTCATCTGCATAACAGATTCTTGATGAGTCTCTCTCCAATCTTGATGCCACACTCCTCTTCACAGAGTCCAGATTCTCAGAGAATTTGCTCAGCATACAGACTGAATAGGTATGGAGAGAAAATACAATCCTGATGCACTCCGTCCCCAGTTCCAGACCATGCAGTGCTCCCCTGCTCTGTTCATTCAACAGCCTCCTGGTCCAGGTATAGGTTCCACAAATGCCAAACACTAGTGAGACTATTTCACACATAATGGTACTATGTATATAGGCACATACGGAGATCTGGTGGCTTAGTGGTAAAGAACTGTGCTGCCAATCCAGAGTTACACAGCTCAAATCCTGCAACTGCTCCATGGGAGAAAGATCTCCTCCTGTGTGAATTACAACCTTTGAAAACCCCCTGGAGGGTCAACCTGATTCCAACCTGATGACATACAGCAACACATATGCATGTAACCCTAGTGGTACAGTGTTTAAGCACTTGACTACGCACCCAACAGTGAACTGTCCTAACTGACTAGGCCCTCCACAACCCGTCATGTCCCAGTGATGCTCCTGCTAAAGAGGAAGCACACAACAGATCCTCTCTGAACCACACCCACCGAGGGAACGGCAGCAGGTCACCCCCGCTGAACGCAGTGCCTGCCCTGGGCCCAGCTCGCCCGGAGATTCTGAGCCAATGGGTGCTCTCAACACTTCCAGAACCTTTGTAAGGAGCCCCAGCACATGGAGATCCTGCAAACCTCTCCCTGCAAAGGCAGCATCTGGTCAGGGTGGGGCTGAGGCTCAACGGCAGGCGGCCTGAGCACAAATGCCCGTCTATCCCGCAATGCTCAGCCGTCCCCTACCAGCAATCACCCCATGTCCCCTCCTAATATGGACTCACACCCACTGAGGATGACAAGTGTTCAGTTCTCCTGCCTGGTGGAGTGCACATCCTGTGAGTACATCGCCTACGTCAGGTTCAGGCTGTTCACAGGTCCAGGTGCATGAACTTCTGAGAAGCCAGGAACGGAGGTGCTAGGAGGGCTCCATGTGCGGGGGGGAGGGGGGTTCTGAGTGCAGGTGATCCACAGGGTGGGGCGCAGCCAGGCAGGACATGCCTGCCTCCCCGTGCTTCAGTGCACACTGAGACCACACGCTCACAAAGACTGCGTGTGTGAAAGGACAGAGGCTGGCCGGCCCCTGCCGCTGCGTGCGCACGACCACAGCCTCAGCACATGCTTTGTGCCAGCTGTTCCTACTGCTGGCCGGGCGGCGAAAGGGAGGGCAGGTTAAACCACATGCACTGAGAGCTGGGGACCCCTACAACTAATGCCTGGAAATAATCTATAAACCCCGAGCTGAAATGACTCCTTGAAGATACTCGTTAACTAGCCGACTGGATCCACAATCGGCACCTGGACCAGCAGTCGGGACATCAGCAGACCTACTGCACTGGGGAAGTCTGCAGTCAGGGACTCCTCCAAATTCCTGAGGGGTAACGGTGTCAGTCTGAGGGCTGAGATGTGTCTGATTTAGGGTGATCACTTACTAAGCATGTGAGAGTTGGACAATGAATAAGTATGACAGAAGAAGAGATGCCTTTGCAGAAAAGTCCTGAATATCCCATGCACCGCCAAAATCACACACAAATGTTCTTGGAAAAAGTGTAGCCAGAGTGCTCCTCTGAGGCAAAGACGACAAAGCTCCGTATCACATACTTGGGATATGTTGTTAGGAGTGGCGATTCCTTGAAGGACATCATGCTTGAAAAGGTGGAGGGTCAGCAAAGGAGAAGAGAACCCTCAGTCAGGTGGACTGATACAGAGAGCGCAGCAATGTGCTCTAGTGTGTCAGGAAGGGTCAGGAAGGCACAGGAGAGGGTTCAGATCTCGTGTTCACAGGGTTGCTATAGGTTGGACTTGACTCGAAGGCACGTAACAAAAATCCAGAGTTGGAGATGAGAATCGGGTGGCTGAGGGGTAAGGGGCTGCACTGCCAAACCAGAAGTGTAGGCGCTGGCGCTGTATTCTTTCTCCAGATTCTTTCTCTTACCCCAGCACGTGTCTCAGATAGCACCCTGGACGTTCCAGTTGCAGCTTTCAGGGACGAACAGAGGTCCACACTCACAGCAAGCCCAGTGCTTTGCTGGAAGGATGAGCAAGGTCCAGGGGAACTACCGAGGAAGAGTCCATTCAGCCTGTCTATGTACGTTTGGGGAGCTTCCTAAAGACGGCAACAGACATGAGTAAGCGCTAACAGATACTTTCCAGAGGCCAAGTGGAAGAAAGAGAACTAAGAGAGTCTTCTTAGAGAAGACATGTGCAGCGGCTCATTGGAGTGAAACGGCCGGACACCTCCACGTGATCGGAAACCAAATGGATTGTACGTGCAAGAAGGAGGGGCAGGAGCAGACAGCTGAGGCGGACGGTCAAGGGGAGACATTTAAGCCACTCCAGGATCACAGCCAGGACTCTGAACTCACTCTGTACCTGTCAAGCCTCGAGGTCAGTACAGACCCAGTAGAGGCTGGATGGCGGGTCTGCTGGTCAGCAGTGGAGAAGGGCTCAGAAGAGACAAGTGTCAAGCCCACACCAGAGAATAAAAGCCAAAGGAAAAGGGCAGGAGCAGGCTGCCACGCAGGGCCAGACGCTTCAGCTGACAATCAACTCTCCACACGGTGTCCGTGACATGCCACATGGGAATGCTCCCATCCTGAGTGGCCACTCGGAGCTGCTGGGGTGTGGCCTGAAGCTATGACTGGAGGGGGGGGTGGGTGAAGGAGAACTCTTCTGTGAGGTCCTGACGGCTTGCGGAAGCCTTCTACAGAGTCAACACAGCTGGCATGCTGGGGAGAGCGGCCAGGCTGGCATGGGGCAGACAGAGCACCCAGGAAGCCTCTGTGCTCTGACATCTGCTGGCCACATCCTGGGCCAAGTTCTCCCTGGACACACTCTTTAATGCTCAATACAAATTCAGAACAGAGTTGAGCCTTGGCAAGAAAGGCCGCTGTGTGGACCAGACAGGTGACTGAGGAAGAAACAGGAAGCCGCGAAGCCCAGGCCCAGCCACGATTCTCTCAGCCCATTCTCCAGAGGCGGGGTCACTGAAGCCACACTGCCACCTGGAGCTCTACCACGCTGAAGGGACTGTTACACGTGCACTGACCTGGGCAGCTCCACGTCTGCCTCCTTTGTGGAGTGTAGGGTGAACCAGGGGAGCTGGAGGGGCAGCCAGCTTGTGATGTCCTCGCCCCATGTTCAAGGCCAGACGGTGTGGCCCACCCTCCATCAGGAAGAAGTAATGCTGGTCTGTCCACCTTACAGGACAGTGAGGCCCGCCCTCCCATGACCCGCCTTCCATCAGGAAGAAGTAATGCTGGTCCAACCATCTCTCCTCGACATGTGAGGTGCCCAGGGGACCACGGCTGCTCAGGATTGGGGGGGTAGGGCGCCCTGTGGCTGAGTCACTTGGTTCACAGAGTGCGTAACTACAATGTGGGTGAGAAGTGCCATCCTCGAGTCTCAGGGACAGCTCAAGTGGACCGGGTGGCGCCTTCGTTGAAGGACAACTATGTCTGGAAGAGCAAGCAGGAAGACATCCCACTCAGCTCCAAGAAGCAATCACACTAGACAACAGCCTGGCCAGTACACAGCCATCGACATGGCACCAGGATGCCAGGAGAGCCACCGGAGAGGAGTCCCCAGGACCTGGGGGGAGCTGGGCCAGACGAGAGTCGGCCAGGCTCCAGACAGGCGTCCTGCACAGTGATGGCCACCAGGGCAAGCTTATGAGACAGTGTATGCTGGTGCGGTCCCTGCCTCCACCCACGACCCAGGTAGGGCCACAGAGCACCCACTTTTCTGATGAGGAAACTAAGTTACAGAGCAGAGTGACTCAGCCACAGAATCCCACGGGCGACCAAGGTCAGTGTTCTCGGGCCCCAGGGGAGGTTAGGAGCCTGGCTAGTGCAGCGATGACCTACTCGGCTGTTAGCCGTATGGCTGGCGATTCAAACCCCCCAGCTGCTCTGCAGGTGACCAGATCTGGCCAGGTCTCCCACAGACAGCCGAGGAGGAAACCCCAGGGGCAGAATCAACTGGACAGACCCAGCAGCCGCTGAAGGCCATTCCCCAGGGGTGGTCAGTTCACCTGGTTGCAGGGAGAGTGCTGACTCGGGTGAAGAACACGGACGGCTCGGCCTCCACGTGCAGGCCCAGGGCGAGGTTCCGGTAGTAGCCATCCACATGGCCGGGGCCTCCGGAGTATTTAAAGTTCAAGACAGCTTCCAGAGTCTGCAGAAGGAAGGTGACAGGGAGTCAGTCACTCCTAGGAGCCCGCGTTCTGCACCAGGAGACAGGAGCAGGGCATCTGGAGATGACCCACCAGTGCAGCTTCTCCCCATCCGGCCGTTCTCATCCCTCTCAGGCCCCATACCCACCATCGGGAATGCCCACCATCGCAGGGGCATTCTGAATACCTCTGATACCCTGCTGTCCACACCAGCAGGCTTGGCCCAGGTATGCAAGGGAACAAGGGGTCAGCCGTGTTCTCTGGAGCTGGACGTAGCACTTCAGAAAGAAAGTACACGCCACTCCACAGCGTTTCAATAGCCACAGACGGTGGGGCGCTCTTCCCTGGCTATGAGCATCAACGCAGGTCCAGTACAGACGCATACCACTCCCCAGAAACCCTCAGAAGACAGGGCTCCAGACAGTCGGGAGCCAGTATTCAAGGAGGGACAGGCTCTTCACAGGCCGGCAGGGCAGGGACACTGTCGCTAGGCCCGTCCAGCATGAGAAGACACCATCATGGTCAATGTCCAATGCAGCTAAGCCCTTGAGCAGCAGGGGCTCCACCTCTCACAGAAAAGCCCCCAGCAGGTGGCAACCAGGTGTGGCCAGACCAAATCCCGCCCACATCCCCTTTTGTCTGATCTGAGAGCCAAGAACCCCTGTGATGTTTGGCAAAGCAAAATCAAAGCAAGGAAGACAAGGCAACTGCAACCATACATGGCCCAGCAGGATCTCAAATCCCTAAAACATTTACTAAAAGGTACACAGAGAGACTGCCAACAAAACTCTAAATAGACAAGACAGGAATGGGCCCTCCCAGGTTTGTATTGGGCAAAGGCTTTAGAACTGGGACACCAGAAACACAAGGAGCAAAGACAAGGGCAGTCAGTGCCGTCAAGGCAATTCAGAAAGAGGCCTTTGTGGAAGGAGGGTCAGGAATGCCCACCATCGCAGGGACATTCTAAAAACATGGCCTGAGGCCATGCTCGCCACATCCACCAACGGAAGGCAGGTCTCAGAGAGGCCGGGATGGGCTGAGGGTCGGCCATGGGATCCACAGGCATTTTACCCCCACCATGCGCTGTGGGCCTGACAACGGGGTCACAGGAAGTACATCCCTGCAGTAGGGATTTCCTGCCTGAAGGGGGCTGTAGGTTGGATCGTCTGACCCACAGGGCTCTATCTCACATGAGGCTGTGGGTCAGACAGCTGTGACCCACAAGAATTACAACCCTGCAATGGACCATGGGTCAGGCTGTGTTTGCATCCCGTGGTGGGCTGTGGTCGGACGGCTGTGACCCGCAGGGATTCCCTCCCCACAATGGACCACGGGTCAGGCTGTGTGACCCACAGGGACTCCATCCCGCGGTGGCTGTGGACTGGACGGCTGTGACCTGCAGGGAAAGTGATGGCTGGTTATTTGGAAGTAGAAGCCGAGGCTTTACTTCTCAGTTCACCTTGGTGCAGACTGTCTTCAAAGTTATCGGCAACACTCACATCTCCACTGAACACAGGTGGCGGATGCTTCTGTGAGGCACTGACCAGGAATCAAACCCAGATCCTCTACACGGAAGGCAGAGCCACTAGACGTTGTTGTTATGTACCGTTGAGTTGGAAATTACACACAGCTGACCCTCCAGTGGGTTTTCAGAGGCGGGAAATCACACAAGAGGAGACTGCTCGACTTTGTCCAGCGAAGCAACTGATGGGTTCGAGCCATGTGCTTTGAAGTTGCCAGTGCAGCTCCTTACCACTGGGCTACCAGAGCTCTCCCTAGACTTTCCTGAGGTTTAATTACAGAAATGTGGTGGTGGAACAAGAAGGCACACACTTGATACACTCCTTTCCCCTCTGCAAACTCACCCTTGCAACACCATGTTGATAATGGTGCTGTTTACCGTAGAAAAAGAGCGACACTTGCATTTTACAGATCACCGTCCGGAACTACCTCCATGGTGTCACTCCCCACCAGCGCCCTCCACTCCACACGGATAACTTCCGTATGACCACAAACAACAAGAGGGATTTTCTTCATCTCTATCAATACAACTTCTCCTTCACACCCAGAAAAAGCCACTTCTGAAACGACTTCACACTGCCTCAGTGAAGAAGTGCTTAAAGAAATACAAATTGTTCCTGGTTTGCTTGAAGGTGTCTAGTTTGGCTTCCCCAAATCCTGGGTTTCTTTCCCACTCACTGCAGCCCAAGGTGCTGTCCTGTCATCTCAGAGAGGATGACACCCTGGGAAGAAGACTTAACAACGCTCTGTGAAATCCTCTTACCATGAGCAGAAGGTGAGACCACCCCCCAACCATCCACACCCCCCAGTCATTAGATCTTCAGTAAAGACTTTGTGTGAAACCAACTGACAGGAAGTTCTTGAGGAGTCACTGGCTGAATTCTGATTTCACACGTTCAGTGTGTTCCTTATTCTTCACTTAAACGTATCCTGAGCACGATCTGGTACCAGGGTTTGTCCTTAGTACAAGTCCAATGTGCTGTGTGACCCCTGGACTTGGAAAGCGCACCGACGACTGAGCACGGGTGTAGGAGCAAATGGACCGATAAATAAATGAACAAAGACAACCATCATCACAACGCTGTACGGCTTCTTTCACAAATTACCGGCTGGCTGGTCTAGAAAATACACAGACTTCCAGCAATGGCCTTGAAAAGCCAAAATTTGTGCTGCAACTTCAGGTATCAGAGTGGCTTTTTATTTTGTTTTGTTTTCAAGGTAACATTTAAAAGTCGCCTCCAAGAAGTGAAGTGGCGGAAATCACCTGGGAAATGAGAACAAACGCCACAAGACAATACGTCTCTGTCAAGAAAACAGAACAACCACAAAAGAAGTAGTCTGCTTTTGTTCTCTCCGAACTGGCTGTTTCATTATTCTGTAGAGAACCGGGGAAAAGATATAATTATGGAGAAACATATCTGTCTAATTTGTGAAAATCAAGTATAGGAAAGATTTTGTGAAGATACTGTATATATTACCGCCTTTTCCTCCTTCATTAAAAAAAGAAATAAAAAGCTTCCTTTCTGCAGTAAAATTAGAATATTTTAATAAAACAATAATGTAAGCAAGTAAGGCAAAAAATACAGAGTGTTAAAGCTTTTTTTTCCAACCAAACTGTAAAGAGAAGCCCAGCACTGACCTGCCAAGAGGTTTTCCTTCCTGAATGTGTTTTACATCCTTACCTTGAGAAAACACTATGATTAAATCAGGAATGGGCAAAGAACAAAAGAAAACATATTTTCTTTTTCTAGGATACATCTTAAAATTAAAGCTAAAATGATGTGTCAACAGAGAAGAATACAGATTTAACAAAAGATGTTCAGTGTCCTACTACAACCTGGAGTGACCCTTTGAACAAGAGATGGAAACCTTACCAATCCTGTGCCACTGTCACAATCTTCACCAATCTTAAGTCCCCTGAGGCAGTCACTGTGTCAAAATATCTCCTTGAGGGTCTTCCTTTCTTTCACGGATCTTCTACTTCTCTAAGTAGGGTACTTTTTCCAAAGGTAACATGCTCAAAGGGCTGTAAGATGAAGTTACACTGCCTTGCTTCTAAGGAGCACTCTGCTTGCACTTGCTCAAAGACAGGTCTGTTTATTCTTTCGACACGTCACAGTGTAAATACTCTTCATCAACACCCCTATTCAAAGGCATAGGTTCTTCACTGGGCAATCTTACTATTGTCCATGACAACAAATAGTGTAAGAGATCCATAGTGATACATGAGAGAGGGTAGGCAAAAGATTCAAGCCTTAGAATTCTTTCTGGATTTTAGCTTGTGCCAAATTTTAGCCAATGAAGCAAAAAATAAAGGAGAACACAACCACAACTGAGTAGTCTTGCTGAACTGGAGAGCACACGGAAGCCAAGAGGCGAGACTGGGCAGGGAAGAGTCTTGAGAGAAAAGGCTACAGAGAGAAAGTGCTCAAGCATAAGTATACGTTCCCCTGAGTCTCCAGCTAAATATCAGTCTCTGAATGAACAGGTGAAAATGCCGATGCGAGGCCAAACAACAATGCCAAGGGATCTGAAGCCAGATCATTCAAATAGCTCATCCAGGGATGACAGTCATTCAAGTGTCACTAGCCAAGAAGAGAGACCTCACTGGACACTTGAGGCCTTCAGGAACAATCCTAGAAGACCCATGACTTAGTACAAAAGCTAAATTAACAACAGAATAAAACAACACATCGTTTAAAAATTTAAAAACAAGTCTTGGAATGATCTAGACAGTTGAGTTACTAGACAGGACCAAGTCAAAAATTCTTCAGACGAACAGAACACAATTCAGGCTCCTGAATATAACACTCTCAATCCTATCCACAAAGATTTACGAAGACAAATAAAAAGCTATAAAAGTAGACCTATGTGGGGGATGTGGGGGAGTTGATCTATGGACAAACTGTCACTAGAAAATGACCTAGGAATGATCAGAAGAAGAAACCATCACAATGGATTCTCTTTGTGAAAAACAGGACTGACATGAGGGTTGGGGGGGGTAACTAAGAAGAGAGGGGATAAACAATGAACACTGCACTGGAACAGATGAAGGAAATAACTAATTAAAAGAAATCTATGATTAGGCATTATTTGTATGACAACAGTCCAGAGTAAGAGGTGCACAGATAGCAAAGTGAACTAGGGGGGAAGGGAGTGAACTGGGGTGGGGAGGGAGGAAAATGTGCAACCATGAATGAATGAAAACCCAGCTTTTCTGTAAACTTTTGTTAAAATCACAATTAAGCAACACAACAAGATGAAGGTAAACAACCCAATTGAAAAATGGGCATAGGATATGAACAGACACTTCACCAAAGAAGATATTCAGATGGCAAACAAACAAATGAAGAAATGTTCAAAATCCCTAGCTCTAAGAGAGATAAAAATCAAAATAACTATGAGATATCATCTCACCCAAGGAAGAATAGCAAAATTTAACAGAACAGCAAACATCAAATGCTGGCAAGGTTGTAGAGAA